TAAAGCCTCTGCCTTCGGCTCAGGTCATGATCCCAGGGTCCTGGGATTGAGTCCCGTATCGGGCTCTCTGCTCAGCGGGGAGCCTGCTTCCCCCTCTCTCTCTGCCTGCCTCTCTGCCTACTTGTGATCGCTCTCTCTCTGTGTCAAATAAGTAAATAAAATCTTTTTTTAAGAAAGGCTATTTCTTGTTTTGTCTTTCTTTTTTTCCCTTTATTTTATTTTTATGTTTCTTAAATTCCACATACGAGTGAAATCATGAGGTATCTCTGTCTTTCTCTGACTGACTTATTTCCCTTAGCATGATACTCTCTGGCTCCATCCATGTTGTTGCCAATGGCAAGATTTTGTTCTTTTTTATGGCTGAATAATATGCCATTGTATGTATATAAAAGTCTATTTCTTGGGGCACCTGGGTGGCTCAGTGGGTTAAAGCCTCTGCCTTCGGCTCAGGTCATGATCCCAGGGTCCTGGGATCGAGCCCCGCATCGGGCTCTCTGCTCAGCGGGAGCCTGCTTCCTCCTCTCTCTGCCTGCCTCTCTGCCTACTTGTGATCTCTGTCTGTCAAATAAATAAATAAAATCTTAAAAAAAAAAAAAAGAAAAGAGTGATGGGGAGGGAGAAAGTGCTGACAGTGGGTGGGGAGGAGCGTTGTTATTTGCACAGGATGACAGGGAAGGCCTCTGATGTATCTGCTGAAGAATCCCGAAAGAGGTGAGAGGGCAGGGAGCTCTGATAGCTGGAGCAGATTTCTCTCAGTCTGAAAGCAACAAATGCTCAGACCCTGAGATGCAGATAGGGTTGTCCTAAAGTCAGAAGAACAACCATGAAGCCAGGGTGCCTAGAGTGGAGTGAATAAGGACACCAGTGAGGGAGACAAGATCAGAGAGGTGGGAGCTGAAAAGGAAGAATGTCTTGAAGGACAGATAATGGACAGCCTCACAGACCATTGTAAAGCATTAGAGTTTTACTTTGAATGAGATGGGAGGATATTGAGCAGAAGAGTGATACTTTGAGAATAGATTTTAGGGGTAAAAATTGGGAGTACTTCTACTACCAGTTAGATCTGTCTGAATAAATGAATTAACGAAAGCCAGTTAGCAAGCAGATAAAAAAGAACTAATTTCTTGTATGATTCCCAGTGTTTTTCATGCTGGTATAGACACTTTTCCACACTGCTAACTACTCTTATTCTTTTTTTCTTTTCTTTTCTTTTCTTTTCTTTTCTTTTCTTTTTGAGAGAGTTTTGTGAGAGGGGCTGAGAGAGGGGTAGAGAGAGAATCTTAAACAGACTTTACATTCAGTGCAGTGCCCAACATTGGGCTCAATTTCATGAGCCTGAGATCATGACCTGAGTTTAAATCCAGAGTCAGACACCTAACTGACTGAGCCATCCAGGTGCCCGCTGACTACTCTTACTCTCTAAAGGTGTGTTTCTACCTGGCTTTCTCAATTCCAGGCAGCCTGAGCTTTCTACCATATAGGCAGGTCAGTCAATAATAAGTAATCCTTAGAACTGGTACGCAAATTCTTTCTTCGAAAGTTACGCAAATTCTTTGTTGGAAGAAGAGTTTACAGAATAAACATGTATGTATGTGTAAAGTATATACACAACTTACGCACATGGCTCTTATTTGTGCTAACAGTTCAAATGCATACTCGATGTGAGGCAGCTTTTACTTCCTATTGGTATGTGGATGTGGCAAATTACCTTCCTGCTTGGAGGATGAAAGAGAAAGGACATGGGAGAAACCAGAGCCCTACAGACTGAATGTTTGTGTCCTTCTAAAATGTATATGCTGAAATCTGTTTTCCAATACGATGGTGTTTGGAGGCGGGCTGTTGAGAGGTAATTAGGTCATGAGGGTAGGACCCTTATAAACGAGATCAGTGCCTTTATAAAAGCGACCCTGAGGAGCTCCCTATCTCCCTCCCACCCCCCCACCCTCCCCTTACCCTCCCATTTAAGCTTACTGTGAACCAGGAGCCTGCCTCTGGTCAGATAGTGAATCTGCCAGGGCCTTGATCTTGGACTTTCCAGCCTCAAGAACTATGAGAAATAAATTTATGTGGTTTAGAAGAAACTCAGTCTATAGTATTCTGTCATAGCATCTCAAATGGACTAAAAAACCAGAGTCCCTAGTGTTGGTGTGTCTACAATAGTATGGGCTTAAAATGAAATCTAAATGCTGTAAGAAAGGACATGACATTTGGGGGTGTGATAGATCCCACTGTCTTGATAGGGCACTTATAAGTGGAGTTACTAATCATGTTTCCCAGCATAGTATTGTTAGATTTAGGCTTATAAGAACTAGTGTTTCTATTAGTCATATAAATTTTCACTTAAGATATATGTAGAAATCCAAGTTCTAATTATACTTAATTATCACTCTTTTAAAAATTTTCATAAAATAGTCTAGTGTTCTATGTGAACATTTTCTTTTTTTAATTCTTATTTCCATGGATACTAAGGTCTTCTAAGCCCTCATCCCTGTAAATAAAAAATAAAAAGAAATTCTTTTCTCACTTAGATTTGTCCTTTTTTTATCCACTACATTCAGGTCTGGAATTGTATTAATGACACACTTGAAAGCCAGTTTGACTTTTTCAGTGTTTTGTTTTCAGTGTAGACTAATAATTACTCTTAATTTTGGGGGGGATCATAAACCTCTTTGTGAAACTGATGGATGTTATAGACCTTAGGGACAAATGTCCATATGCTCACACACATAAGATATGCAGTATAATTTCAGGGAATCCATAAACTTTCTGAACTCTATCCAGAAAAATCCTTATAGAATAGCAAAATATTTAATCATATTACATATGTGTTCAGGTCAAGTTCACTGTCAGTATATACTGAAATAAGTGAAATCTGACTCCTGCAAATAGGGAGTGGTACATTTTTTTTCTAGAGTTTTTACTTTTCTGTGATTATAAATTTTTTGGCCAGTTTTTCCTTAGTTAGTAAGGGTAACATACAACTTGTCCTCTAAGTAATCTCTCTGTTATGAAATGTATCTATTTCCAGGTTCTCATTCCGGTGCACCATTTCTCAGTTTATATGTGAGTGATTCCCACCCAGCAAAGACTAAAACAATAAAGACATGATCTAGACATTTACTTTTGTGAGACAATAAATTTTTTCATTGTTGATAGAATTAGATTAGGATTTTCTGTGAACTTGCAACCAAAACTTGAACCAGAGATTTCTGGGGAGTAAGATATTAGATTATCGGTCCTTTTGGCACATTAAAAAAAAACAAAACAGTGAATTAATATTTCTAATTTAAATTTTCTCCACCATTCTATGCATGCCACCTGTTATTGTTAACCAAATTTTTGTTTGTTTGTTTGTTTGGTTTTAAGGTAAGGAATGAAATAGTTATGTTTAGGTTGACCCCGCAGCATTCCCCCCCCCCCCCCACTGAATGAGATTGAGTTTGGAGAATACAGTGGACAAAGCCCCAGGCTTACTTGCTTGGATCTGCTCCTTTGAAGTAGGCATTGACCGTTTCTGTAAATGCTGCTGCAACAGGGAGGGTGTCCTGGGCTCCCATGGTTAGGGGGCTGGGTCCCCTGGAAGAACCTGCATGAAATGAAAAACTTTCATTTATTATGGAAATAGGAGACATATTAGTATATGTGGAACTTAAAGCCCATTTAAAAAAAATATTAAAGGATGAAATCTATTACTGAAAAAATGTAATGTACTAAGAACCACGTGTGTATATTCAACACAGAGCTCAAGTATTTAAAAGGAAATATTTGGCTGCTTTACAAACAAACACGCTTGAAATTAATTCAATGACATATTTTTCTATAGAAAAAAAAATCCAAGCAGAAGAATAAAGTCACAGGGGGTTTTCAGTGTTTTACATAAAGCATAAGGCAGTATTTGAATGACAGTTTGTACAGCAGGTAGTTAATAAAGAAAAGTATTAGCTTCCTATTTCATTCACCCTGCACTCAAAGGTTCTTGTGTTTCTTTATTTTAAAGACAAATGGCCATGGGGTACCATGTTACACATTACCCTTTTCTGGATTATTTCTGTTTCAGAAAGCCAATTACCTTCAGATCAAGTAGGCTCAAGTTTACATGTCCAAAAACATTCACAACATAACAACATGACTTAGCACAGATGCACAAATACATCAGTTCATACTCTAAATAATAACGGCAGGACTCATGTTTATTGAACACCTGCTACATGCTAGGTTCTGTCCTAGAGGCCTTCCAAGAATTATCTCATTCAAACCCCACATCAACCCTTTAGGATAACCATTATGATTTCCATTCTATAGAAGAGAAAACTGAAGTTAGAAGAGATAAGTAAGGAACTCAACCCAAGATAACCGGTAAGCGGCGACACTAAAATTCAAAGCTAGATTTGCTACCCTATAAAGCTCGTGTTTTCCCCATTATATCATACAGTTTGTCTAAATGAAACATTCTCTTTCATGGTTTTGATACAACTTGAGGTTTCTGAAAGGAACAAAATTTAGGATTGTTGTCTTTGCTATTCATCTCTAGTCATGGTACTAGGCAGTAAAGTTTTAGTAATGACAAAGTAGTTAGTTATGTCATCGCTCACCTTCTCCTTCCTATCAAACAAAGCACATTTACTTTTCTCCACCTCAGAGCACACTATGTATTTATTATGCTTTTTTTCTTTTACCTTTGGTAACTTCTGTACTCTTCTCTGGCCATTAAAAAATCTGGCCATTAAAAAATTTGTCTATCTCCCTACTCAATAAAGTTTTCTTTGGTAATTCTCATTCATGCTGGTCTCTTCTTTTACTGTCTTCCTTTGGTGTTCAGTATTTTGGACTTGGTAATTGATTATTAACAAACACCATGCTTACTACCTACTATGTATAAGGCACCATAATAGTTTCAAAGTTAAGTTAAACATAATCAGAAAGTTCCAAGTTAAATTAAACATAATCCCTATTCTCAAGGAGTTACAGTTCAGTGTGCTAATATCCTCATTGCCAAAATTCACCAACATTACCTCCATCACTGTTATCTGTTGCACACTTAGTGTGTGTTTTGCCTATATCATCTATGGAATGTATGAAGTAAGTAGAGAGATCACAGATGATCTCATCGAAAACTGATGTTGGAACTGAGATTCGAGAATGAATAAGATCTCACAAGGGGGAGAAGGAAGAAGGTCCAGCACAAACGTATATGTGGAACTGAGCAAACATATGGCATTTTGAGAAACCACAGGAAGTAGGGCACTATTTGCTTGTGAGTGTGTGCAAATGCCGTGGGTATTGAAAGGTTGAGACATGAGAGGAGATGAGGTTGGGGGCTGTTAGAAATTAGATCCTGAAAAGTTTTGTATAAATACTCAGGAAAATTTGTTTATTTTATAGGTGATTTATAGGCATTAAAATCATAGTTATTTTTTGATAATTTGATACAAATCCATAGGTGCTTTTTTAAAAAATTTCTTTTCAGCGTAACAGAATTCATTGTTTTTGCACCACACCCAGTGCTCCATGCAATGCGTGCCCTCCATAATACCCACCACCTGGCTCCCCCAACCTCTCACCTCCTGCCCCTTCAAAACCCTCAGGTTGTTTTTCAGAGTCCATAGTCTCTCATGGTTCATCTCCATGGTTCATCTCCAATTTCCCTCAACTCCCTTCTTTTTAATTTTTAAATTTTTATTTTTAATTTCTTAAGGAATCTCCACACTGTTCTCCAAAGTGACTGCACCAACTTGCATTCCCAACAACAGTGTAAGAGGGTTCCCCTTTCTCCACATCCTCTCCAACACACGTTGTTTCCTGCTTGCTAATTTTGGCCATTCTAACTGGTGTAAGGTGGTATCTCATGTGGTTTTAATTTGAATCTCCCTGATGGCTAGTGATGATGAACATTTTTTCATGTTTATGATAGCCATTTGTATGTCTTCTTTGGAGAAGTGTCTGTTCATATCTTCTGCCCATTTTTTGATATGATTATCTGTTTTGTGTGTGTTGAGTTTGAAAAGTTCTTTATATATCCTGGATACAGCAATTCAGTAACGTGGCAGGATACAAAATCAATGTACAGAAATCAGTGGCTTTCTTATACACTAACAATGAAAATACAGAAAGGGAAATTAGAGAATCAATTCCATTTACTATAGCACCAAGAACCATAAAATACCTGGGAATAAACCTAACCAAAGAGATAAAGGATCTGTACTCGAGCAACTATAGAACACTCATGAAAGAAATTGAAGAAGATACAAAAAGATGGAAGACCATTCCATGCTCTTGGATCAGAAGAATAAACATTCTTAAAATGTCTATACTGCCTAGAGCAATCCATACTTTTAATGCCATTCCAATCAAAATTCCACTGGTATTTTTCAAAGAGCTGGAGCAAATAATCCTAAAATTTGTATGGAATCAGAAGAGACCCCGAATCGCTAAGGAAATGTTGAAAAACAAAAATAAAACTGGCGGCATCACATTACCTGATTTCAAGCTTTACTACAAAGCTGTGATCACCAAGACAGCATGGTACTGGCATAAAAACAGACACATAGACCAGTGGAACAGAGTAGAGAGCCCAGATATGGACCTTCAACTCTATGGTCAAATAATCTTCGACAAAGCAGGAAAAAATATACAGTGGAAAAAAGACAGTCTCTTCAATAAATGGTGCTGGGAAAATTGGACAGCTATATGTAGAAGAATGAAACTTGACCATTCTCTTACACCGTACACAAAGATAAACTCGTGACAAAAGACCTCACAAAGACCTCAACATGAGACAGGAATCCATCAGAATCCTAGAGTAGAACATAGGCAGTAACCTCTTCGATATCAGCCACAGCAACTTCTTTCAAGATATGTCTCCAAAGGCAAAGGAAACAAAAGCGAAAATGAACTTTTGGGACTTCATCAATATCAAAACCTTCTGCAAAGCAAAGGAGACAGTCAACAAAACAAAGAGGCAACCCACAGAATGGGAGAAGATATTTGCAAATGACAATACAGACAAAAGGTTGATATCCAGGATCTTTTTGATATCCAGGGTGCTTTTTGAAGCGTGCACACGTGTGCAGCAGTCATGTAATTTGAAATTGTGTTTGGAGGTCCTAAACCTGAGGTTAAGAGCACCATCTCTCGAAGATGGGAAGCCTCTGGAGTATTTGAAATAGGGGAGTTGTGATGGGGCTTGACTTTAGATTGCTCTAGCGATAGCGTGGCAGATAATTTAGGGACAAGGACAATAATGTAAGTGAAGAGACCTCTTAGAAAGAAAAAGGTAAAATTGGCAAGAAATGCAGGTGTTAGCAGATAAAGGGAATGGCATTATATTTTTCAGTTTTACAAAGCATTTAATAGTTTCCCATGTTGTTCTTATGAATAAAATTGTGAAATTCAGGTGGATAATAGTCTGGTCAGGTGAACTATTAGATGAATCACAGTATCCAATGGGCATGAATCAGTGGTTTTACATCTGTCATGAAGGAAGTCTGTAGTGGAATACCCTGGAGTTCTATCCATAGTCTGGGCTCTTTGGTGCCTTGGATAAAAGTGGGAAAGATGCTTAGAAATGACACATTGTAGTGGCTAAGAGTATGGGACTTTTCATTAGACATACCTGGGATTGAGTCTTTTTTCTGACACTTGTTATTTATATGATCTTTGGCAGAGATGATAAAATAACACTCACTTTGTCAGCCTGTTTTGAGGACAAAATGAGGTAAAATATTCAACACAGTGCTTGGTCCACAGTAAGCACTCATTAATGATTAGCTATTTTTATGACCGGTATCATAATTTAAGATAATACAGAGGTTATCTTAAATAAGGACAGACTCAATGAAGGTGCTAAACATGATCTTTTGGAATTACTGGGCTGGAACTGAGAAGAAAAATACCAGCAAAATTAAATGTGGAATTCTTTTCCATCAAGATTAAAAATTAATAAAAAAATAAGATTTGAGAAAAACTGGTTTGTTGGGCACCTGGGTGGCTCAGTGAGTTAAGCCTCTGCCTTCGGCTCAGGTCATGATCTTAGGGTCCTGGGATCGAGTCCCGCTTCGGGCTCTCTGCTCAGCGGGGCGCCTGCTTCCCCCTCTCTCTCTGCCTGCCTCTCTGCCTACTTGTGATCTCTCTCTGTCAAATAAATAAATAAAATCTTTAAAAAAAAACTGGTTTGGTGAAAGAACATGTGGAAAAAATATCTGGGGGATGGCTTTGATCATCAACTGTCATTGCTGGGCTCCAAACATGTTACTCATTGGGTTATATCAGTAGATGAATAACAGATGGATCCCCAGAAAGGATGGCTTTACTGCTTTTTGTTTGTGTGCTTTGTTTTCAAGCTCATCAGATGGTAATCAGGCCACATATCCACAAGCTAAAGACCAATTACGCTCTTCAGTGTAATGATGGGCAAGACCATCTGGTGTGTTGTGGTCTGAATGTTTGTGTCCCCCCAAATACATCTGTTGCAAATCTAATGCCGCAGGCGATGGTATTAGGAGGTGGGGCCTTTGGCAGATGATACAGTCATAAGGGTGGAGCACTAATGATTGGGATTAGTGCCCTTATAAAAGAGGCCCCAGAGAA